AGAGAAATACACAAGACAATAGACCTTTCTGCCACCTTGTCTTGCTTTTTTACAGGAATACAGTAACATAGTCCTGTGCATGAAAAGGTACATTTTTACATTCAAAAGGTTGCAGTTCTTTAAAGTATTCTATGAAATAAAGAATAATGAAAATTACTGTGCCATCAGAACTACTACTTTTGTTGTTCTTATCATAGCTACAAAACTGAGGTTGAGGTATTTAACTCATGATTTAAGACAAGTGCAAAACAACTTGATTACTCTAGTAGTTTTAAATATATATAAGTTTCTAAGACTTTGTTTAAAAAAACCCCACAGTATTTTGGTTGGTTGTTTGCTAAAAAAAATATGTGACAGCACGACTTACTGTTACCTTTGGACGCTACTGAAATACGAAAAGAACAAAAAACCAACTTGCTATTAATTGGAAATAATACATTTAATTTTTAGAAGGAAGGAATAATAGAAAACATACGTGGCTTTTCATCTCTGGTTGTCTGATCTTTCTCGGTTTTTAAATAAATCAAACCCTCTTGTGATTTCCACTTGTAATATTAGATCTTTAAATGTCTGGCTTACACTCTAGCATGAGCTCTGATGGCTGCCAACTTGGAGACAAACTACTTTATACCAGACCTCCATAAGTTGCTAGAAAAATGAGTTCTGTCTCACTTTTAACAGTCCTGTTTTTTAATGTGTTATTTTACTTAATTGCCGTCACTTTTGCTGGTTACGTGACATTTAGTGAAAGGGAAAAATAAAATCACATTTTAAAGTTCAGAGGTTAGAACTTCTAGATCCTATTTTCATGTTTAAAAGGATGAGATGGTCAAAAACATCCTTTGTTTTGTTTACACCAAGGGTAATGAACTGCAAGGAATTCTAGAGGAGACACGACCGCTTCTTACCAGACTTCTGAGATGTGCTTCTGCTGAAAACACAGAAAGAAATCAATTCAGATTTTTTTTAGCATTATTCTGGAACTGTGGCGCTGAGATGATGGGCTTTGAGCCATTAGCACTTAGTAGTTACTAACTTGATTTTTAAAAAGAAGGTGTAAAAAAAAAAAAAGTGGATTTAGACCTAAAAATTTTATAAACAGACCAAAAACTTCCATCTAAGATGCATGCTGGAACAGATCCTGCAGTTCTTCCCAACCAAGATGCCCCCTCGGGACTCAGCAACTTGAGAACAACAGAAAAAAAAACCCTCAACATCCGATTAGATAAAATTATCATACATTAAGCATTTATATGATCTCAAGTACACATTACCACACAGCAGAATGTTTTTTTTAACCAGTAGTTAAAACCACTGTCGAAGTCTGCCTCAGATTTTTATGCATTTTGTCTTGCTATGACTTCCAGGCTAGGCTTCCGAAGCGGACATGTCAGACTACTGCTATGACTTCCAAGTACAGACTAGGCTTCCGAAGCGGACATGTCAGACTATCTTCAGATGCTTCCACCAAAGAAGGTAGCCAGCACACGTACACGTGAAGAAGAGGCACAACGTAACTTATACCATCTAATTTCAATAAGAAGTCATCCCTAGTTGTGAATTTTTAATTTTATAACCTCTTCCCCCCCCCCCCCAAATTAGCCCTCCAGCAAAGTTACTACTGTAAAGGACAGATGCATTGCAGAAGTACAGAAGTTCTGTTGGAGAGTTTTGTACCAGTGAGTCATTCAGTGTATCTGGGCGTTCTGGAGGAGCGGAGATTCACCGATGCCACGCGTTGTTTTCCAGTAAAGTTATAAAAGCACCGAGCCGAACAGAAAAGCACTGATAATTTAAGTGACTCTACTCAACTATTGCCAGGAAGTCAAACAAGCAGGCTATGCCTACTGCTAGCGCACGAACAAGGAACGCTCCTTTGTAAGAGCACGCGCATCAAACGTGTCAAAACAGAAGTATTTGGTAGAAATGGGCAGGGTTAGAGGATTCAAGAGACAGTGCAGTTTGTTGCCTTCATCCCTCACCAAATCTGCTTTTCCATACAAATTATTAAAGTTATGGGAGACTGTCTGTGGACCCCGTATTAAAACAGAATTTGTAAGCGCACCAACACAGAATGAAACTCTCCATTTTTCCTACAGCTATAAAAGGCTGCTCTTACAAAGCAAGTACCTACAACAATTAGTCCTACTCAGGCTGTATTTCTGAAAGAAACAGTTAGAACAATTATGAACTTACCCACTTCCCCATTGACAAGGTGTAATGTTGGTTAGTATCTCCTGTTACCAGCCACTGTCAGAGACCAGGCACTGGGCTAGGTGGATCCTTCATTTGACTCATGCTTCTTCTGTTCAGACCTTTTGCTTTTGTTCTCAGCTGTTCAATTTTCCACATACTTTATACATAAACGCTTGCCCTTCTGTCACCACTAACGTTAGTATATCCAATCTCTAAATTTCATTCAATTCAAGCTACTGTCCCTAGTGCATTTCATATGCCTACGATATATAAGCCATACAATGAATCACACTTAGAAAAAATCTGTACAAATACATGCTATGTCAAAATTTTACCCTTTCAGCTTGGTGTCACTACTTTGTGCCTGGAAATCCTATCCTATGTGCCAGTCTTAAGAAACTGCATTGAAGACAACTGCTTAGTTTTCCATGCTGCAGATTTTATTATAAAATTAATATGATCTTTCATTTTGGGAGAAGCTTGTCTCCTTATCCACTGTCTGTATCAGATGTGTATGTGAACACTTTTACCACTTTTGCGTAACACTTGGCATTTTCTTAAGTATCATAGAATCATGGAATCATTAAAGTTGGAAAAGACCTCTAAGATCATCGAGTCCACCCGTTGACCCAACACCACCATGTCCACTAAACCATGTCCCTAAGCGCCTCATCTACTCGTCTTTTAAATACCTCCAGGGATGGGGACTCCACCACTGCCCTGGGCAGCCTGTTCCAATGTTTAACCACTCTTTCAGTAAAGACATTTTTCCTCACGTCCAATCGAAACCTCCCCTGGCACAACTTGAGGCCATTTCCTCTCGTCCTATCGCTTGTTACTTGGGAGAAGAGACCAACACCCACCTCGCTACAACCTCCTTTCAGGGAGTTGTAGAGAGCGATGAGGTCTCCCCTCAGCCTCCTTTTCTCCAGGCTAAACAACCCCAGTTCCCTCAGCCGCTCCTCATAAGACTTGTTCTCCAGACCCCTCACCAGCCTCGTTGCCCTTCTCTGGACACGCTCCAGCACCTCAATGTCCTTCTTGTAGTGAGGGGCCCAAAACTGAACACAGTATTCGAGGTGCGGCCTCACCAGTGCCGAGTACAGGGGCACGATCACTTCCCTACTCCTGCTGGCCACACTATTCCTGATACAGGCCAGGATGCCATTGGCCTTCTTGGCCGCCTGGGCACACTGCCGGCTCATGTTCAGCCGGCTGTCAACCAGCACCCCCAGGTCCTTCTCTGCTGGGCAGCTTTCCAGCCACTCTTCCCCAAGCCTGTAGCGCTGCATGGGGTTGTTGTGGCCGAAGTGCAGGACCCGGCACTTGGCCTTGTTGAATCTCATACAGTTGGTCTGGGCCCATCGATCCAGCCTGTCCAGGTCCCTCTGCAGAGCCTTCCTACCCTCGAGCAGATCAACACTCCCGCCCAACTTGGTGTCATCTGCAAACTGACTGAGGGTGCGCTCAATCCCCTCATCCAGATCATCGATAAAGATATTAAACAAGACCGGCCCCAAAACTGAGCCCTGGGGAACACCGCTCGTGACCGGCCGCCAACCGGATTTAACTCCATTCACCACAACTCTCTGGGCCCAGCTGTCCAGCCAGTTTTTTACCCAACGAAGAGTACACCCAAGCCGTGAGCCGCCAGCTTCTCTAAGAGAATGCTGTGGGAGAAGGTGTCAAAGTAGTAACCATTAGCTCTCCTGTTCAATGCAGGGACACCTCCCTTGGTGGAAAAGTCTGTTTCCCAAAGCATCTTTCTTTCCTCTCTTTCTTTATAAATTCGTATCTTGCTGAATATCATTATGCTGTTCACCACTGTACACCCATGCTCAGAAGCTTCCTGCCACTTTCCGCGGGCCAAGTTTTCCTTGTTCTCCATCACAGTTGGTCAGTTCAAACTGACCAAACAAAACATGGGTTTGTTGGGTCCTGCCATATCGCTTGAAAGGCTAAGAAACCACAGAAGCTGGATCAAAGTTATGTACAAAAGACTGTAGTATCTCCTCAACTTTATCTGTTAGCTACTTGAAAATGCATCTGAAGATGTTCAAATGTTTATGAAGAGCAATTACATTTAAAATGTTCGAGGTCTGCAAGTATTCCTCAGGCACATCATTGCAAAGCACTCTTGCAAAAAACTATCTCCACCTGTATTTCTATATTGTGCCCCTTAATTACTTTGTCCCATTTTGGCCATTAGGTATACAGCCTCTCGTGCTAAATCTGACTCCATAATCTCCTTTACATATTAAGATATATTTACTTCATATAATCAGAACTAGCATTTATCTATAGTTCCTAACCTCTGTTTTAATAGTTGTTTAAATTAGTAGACTGTCTTAGAAGTTAACAATACTTCTTTAAAATTACAAATTACCTTTCAGCTCCTTGTTTCTAAAATTTTCAGTCTTTTTTGATACAATACTGTATTTCCATTAGAGCTGATACAGCAAACTCTTAAAAAAAAACAACCCAAACCAAACCTTAAGACAAATCACTCCCCACACTCCAGGGAAGAAAGATCATTTTCTACCTACAGTATTTTCCCTGCACCATCGATAGCTTCATCACCGACACTAATACTAACATGGCCAAGCAACAGGGTTTCTAAATTTGTATCACCTAGATCTGCCTTTGGCTTCTTTCTTTCCGTCTTTCTTTCTTTTTAACACTTGCAATGCTGGAAGACTTTGTATAAGTGTAACTATATTAACGGGAATGCAATATTAATAGCAAAAAGTTTAATTTTGACATAAGTTCATTTAGGCGCAGAAGAAGAAAACACAGCTAAGTGCCCAAAATTCCTCTGGGCCAATTTAAACCATTTATTTCCAATATATATTAATGAAACACTTCTAAATGGCAATATTTCCATTAATTAGTTCTATGATCCATGAAGCCTTCAAGTATTTAAAGGAGAAATTAATGAAGCATATATGTAATCTTTTTAAGATATACAAAAAACCTGTTTACAAAATTTTTTCAATTTTTAGTTATATTAATCCCTTCTTTATCAACAGAGATAAGTTTTACAGACTTCTGTGGAATTAAAAACATTAAGACCACTTAGTCTCCGCAATAAAGCTCTGCAGCAGTGTTTTTCTTATTTATAAATGCAAACATAATTATGACTACTTTTTGTAGCCATCTTCAGCACTTCTGTTATCTTTAAGAGACGGCGTGATACAAAACAAACTGCCCCAAAACCATCAATTCCTTACTTAAGTGTTTTCAAGGTGTAATTTTTTCAATAATAGTACAAAACAGTATTTCTTGTGGCAGAAGAAAAGAGTGATTATCACTCTAGTTACTTCAAAACTCACCACCATAATTAAGTGACTTTTTGGGAAATTTTAGATGGATAGGAATCAGAGCAGGCTGTAGTAACTTTAATAGATGACACCAGTTAGAAGAAGTGAGACTGAAGTAAAGTCTGAGTAAAAACAAAGTTCAGTTATTTGAATTTCTGCTTTTTCCTTGCCTGAAACTCTTCGGTTTTATTTTTGACAGATTTTATTAGCATTGATAAGGCAGGATCTATGGCTTTCTTAGCAACCTCTCCCTTCTTTGCCATCTTGTTCTCCTGCCCCTTGCTTGCCTCCTTAAGATCTTGCTCCTTTTCCTCTCTTCGGCGAGCTTTCTCTTCCAAGATCTTTTCTACTGCTTTTGTCTTCTTGAAATTTGGATCTGAAGGATCCAAATTAAACAGGGGAGAAGTAAACATGGCTTGGAATCTTGTATCGGCAACATTTACCTGAAGGCAGAAAAGGAGTATTTATTTTAGGTAACCTTTACCCACGATAGCAAAGCTTTTAAACACAGTAAAATATGAGCTGCTTAAGGAGTCAGAGCTCATGAGATTGTTCACCGTTCCCGGAACCGCTTCACTCACAAAATCCCAGCGAGCGTGAAGTAGAGAGCCAGGAGATACTATTGGTAAAACAGACAAGTGAATGCTTGTACAAATCCTGTATATGCCTCTATCGGCAGACCAAGGAAAGGTTTGTTGTTGAGAACTGACCCGGAAAAAAGAAGCAGGGGTAACAATCAGAACAAACATACCAATGAGTATTTTAGGCAATGAGTTGTACAAGGCCTTGCATAAATAGCGTCTTGTTATCTTACACAGAGTTTGAATCTGTGCCCCTTCAACCTTGTATCAGAATATTTCTTGCTTTTTGAAAACGGCCTGTAACTCCCTAAAAAGGTAGATCTAGGTTTTCTCCTTCAGATAGAGTAAGGGACGAGAAGGATATGAGACCACCAAATTTGTCTTGAAAATAATTGATATTACCAAAGGTTCTAGCTGAGCCTCAAAATGAAGAGTATACCATTACCTGGAAGTCATCTTCTAGTAATTCTTTCTTTTTCATTAAGAGTTTCTTTTTCTTCTTGCTCAAATTCTGTTGTTCTACAATCTTTTTATAATTAAAATGTTTTCTGGCATCATCCTCATCATCCATCATAAGTAGGGCCATTTCAGCCTGTTACAAAATAAGAAAGTCCATGTACGCAATGAAATTAAGTTTTCTATGAAAAATATAGCAGCCCATTAATAAAGTCTGTATGAGTCTACGTACATATAAATGAGTTGAAATAGGGTTGTCGGGGCAATATTGTTTCATCCATAACAACAGTCTTTCAACATTTTGAGGTGTAATACTAAATACGATAGTTGATTTCCTTTCCTTTTTATAATATAAAATAAATGCAAATACCCACATTCAACTCTCAAATGTACTAATAATCGAATCTGAAAGTTGTACACCATAACTTAGAAATCACGAACGGATACAATTTTATATTGATATTTATATAGCAAAATAAAAATTAACATCTATGCATTTAATACATTTATTTAGTTAACTTGTTCTGAGAAAGCATGAAAAGCAAACGTGCAATAGCAAACAATTCAATCTTCAAGGTTAGAAGTATACAGGACAAGGTTTGAGCACACAAATGTTTCACACAATGCTGATGTTAAGAGCAAACGTTCAGCACCGCCCAACACGCAAACATACTGGGATAGCTTTAAAGCTAGAGGGACGATCAGCTCAACCAGTATGGCTTCTGCACCCTTACATGTCAGTGTTACCTAACCCTGTTGGGCTGTGGTCAACTATAATCTTCCAGAAAGATATCATGGCGTAATCTTAGAAAATCAAAGCATGGACCATCTACCATTCGTGGGTAATTTTTGTTCCAAAAGCTCTCGTTATTAAAATTACACAGTTCCCTTCTATTGCTGTCCTATGGATTTTAGTAGTTCCACTCACAAACATGTAACATAAATATTGGCAGAATTTAGGCAATGCAACATCTGTAATTCTTAACATTTTAAACCACTTTACCTTTTGTTTCTCAACTTCATCTTCATCTTCGGAGGCACTTCTGTTTCTCAACTTCAACTTCATCTTCATCTTCGGAGGCACTTTCAACCGATTCTGGCTTCTTCTTTAAACCTAAGTGCAAATACAGGACATGCACACATTCATTCAAGCTTATGCACGAGAGCATAATTTACCTATGAATAGAACCTCTAAGTGCATCTCATTTTCTTGTAAGCAACACTTAAATGTCATATGTGAAAAAAGGCTGAAAAGTTAAGAAAAACCAGCTAGACTTAAAGCAATAAAAATCCACTGAGTATTTGTTTAATTTAAGGAGGCAGCAATATTCACATGGCATAAACAAGTCAACAAAAAAGAACAGTTAGAAAAAATGGTTTTACTGTAGTTTTCATAGAGCAGTAGAGAGAAGTATCGCAACAGTGCAGGCAAACATATGACATGACTCCACTCCCAGGGCATTTTAAAGGGAAATTAGTTTATATACTCATAAATGTAATTGCAGTGTCCTGCAGTTCTCAAATTGTTCATTCTTTCTACTGAAGTAGACAATGTAGTAAATACTTTAAAATAAAAAGCAAATGTGCATCTCTTCTCTGTATCCAGAATACAAGTCTGCCAGCTGAATAAGAGCACATCAGTCAAAAAAAAAAAAAAAAAAAAAAAACAAACAGTTTTTAAAGTTTATATGCAAGGCTAAAAGACCATATTGTGCTGTTAGCCAGGTCTTTTTTGCAAGGGTTTTTTGCGCTAGCATGAACAGAATCACAGGAGTGAAAATAAGATTGACTCTGTTCAGACTGAATTGAATATTCTTCTGATGAAGCTTTCTTACTCTCTTAGAATTTACTTTAGAGACACAGTGCTGATTAGACAGACATAACGAGAAGTAACAGCATAAGACATTAGTCAAACATAAATTTTAATGAAAACAGACCCATTTATAAATCCTACGAAATCAAATTATTCTCTTTGGAATGCCTGTAGACCTCGATCAAGGAGGAGCAGGAAAAGCAGAAGGTTTCCTGACCTGAACCACACACTCTGACCTTTGAGCTTGGAATTACATTCCCAGGCAATTTATTACAATCCACTGGGGGTACTCTTAAGGAAGGTATTTGGCTCCATTTTGTTAAGCCACATTTGTAGTCAGACTAGAAATACAAACATGCCAGAAAAATGTCAAGTTGTATCACTAAGTATACTCTGGAACAGGACACATTTCTTGAAGAACAATTTTTCCTCCCTTGACTATTCTCTTGACTATTTCTAAATGGATTCCAAGCTGGAAATGGATTTCTAGAAGAAAGAAACCACCACCACCAAAAAAGAAACTATCCAGATGCGCAATGTTATCAGCTCAAGAACTAAATTGTTGATTTAGTAGTTCCAGAAAACGTGCAGGAAAATCAGATACACATAAACTATTGTTACCTAACCTACACAGTTTATGTTAACGTGTAGAAGGGAGAAATAAACGTCTTCTGTAAGACTTCAACAGCTATGCAGTCTTCTGTATCTTCCCAGAACTGGCTAAACTATGGAAAAGGAAACAGGGCACAGAGATACGAAGTGAAGACAATTATTCTAGAAGTTAAATCAGTAAATCTCTCAGACTTTCCACCCATCCCCCAAAGAAGGGCCCTCAAGTCATCTTCCCTTGTCTTTCACTGTATGTAGAATCACAGAAGTGAAGATAGCTTATCTTCATGCCTTCAGAGACTTCTGTTGCTGCAGATGGGGGTGAACCAGGCACTAGTATCAAACTATTTCTTTCTTACTATGACCCTATGCAGCTGATAAAAACAGCTTGGTACCTGAACTCACTCTGAGCACTAAAAACTTTGCATCGTGCTGAAAATAATTTGGTTTCAGAATTCACAAATACATAATTTTCTTTCTCCTGACGTAGTCTCTCTCCCCACATACATTCTGGAAGTCCCCCCCAACCTTTTGCACACATATGAATGTAAAACCTATGATAGGAGTCCTCTCCATTTGATACCAAACCCTCAGATTTTACCTACCACCTAATCCCCACTGCCATCTTTTAATCAGACTTGGTCCACCCTATAGCAGCAGATACTTGTCTTCAATGCTATGTAGAACCGATAGCTGCCACCAGCCAGTGAGAAAAGCTTCTAATCTCTGCTGCAAGCCCCCCTTCAAGCTGCCATTCGGCTCTTTCTCAGCTCAAGAATTTAGTTTGCAACATTCATTTTGCCCATCAACAACTTTCCAGTGCTAACAGGAAAAGGCTAATCATAATTTTGAGACTGCAAAGACAGAGACCGACCCCAGCCCAAAAACTTCTCTCACAAGACCTCTCATCTGTCTTAGAAGCTTTAAAGTCAGTCTCAAAAGCCTTGCAAAGACACACAGTAAATGAATCAGTAATACAGCCAAGACCTTTATCTTCCAAGTACAGGTTCTACAACTGTACTCAGATTTTGTTGTTAACCTCTTATATCCCCACAGTCGTACTGCTACCTTCCAGCATTAAAAAAAGCCATCAATTTCTACATATATCATAAATTAGATCATGAGAAAGCATCTACATGGTTTGGCAGCTATAGGACTTGTAATAATGTGTAACGACATGTAGCCCTTTTCCTCAAAGAAGGATCAATAGAAACTGTGGTTAACGGTCTAAAGCGTTCTGAAACTATTCAGTGATCTCCAAAAGCAGGACACTGCTCTCATGTTAATAAGCAATTGCACTATTCAGCTATTAATCTCCCAACAGTTTAAGCTACAAAAGTCATTCTGTCCTACGTGAACCTTTTCTGAGACCCCACAGAAAGAGATGCAGCAACACTGAAATTGGCCAAGCCAAATGAAAGATTTACAATACTTTTTGAAACAATATAGAACGAAAGCGACAAGTGATTTTTTTCTTGACAATATCAAACTAGAATCAAGCTTCCGAAATGCAACATCAAGGCTCAAATATACGCAACATTTTACATTTTAGCCCATGGTACTAGTGAAAAAAAACACATAGGGATTATGCGCATATGAAAACTGTGCAAAGCAAGCACCATCATGAATTTCAGGAGTGCTAATTTGCACACACCTGCACCAACACTCTTTGGGTATAGGAGGCACAAAGAATTTGCTCTACCTCGCCTCTCCCAAGATTAATTATCCACAGTGTAAGAATCACTGCCTGCTTTACAAAGAGTTTTCAGGAACAAAGACAAATCTGATGAATATAAGCTTAAGTAGACTTCCCATAACTTCCAGTTTTCCTGTCACAGCACTCCAATTTATTAGGCCCTTTGTCTAACAGCTCCTAACAGTCTTGCTTCCCTTCAATTGCCTCAGCTTCTCAAAAACTGACTACAGTCAACAAGTGAATCCAGCACAGGAGCAAATACGCCACTGCAAAACCCTAACAGCACTACTGTATCCTCACAGTTTCTGCTCTGGTCCACCTGAGTCTGCAAACATATCCTGTCATATGCTTTTTCAGCATAATCTAAGATCATCTGACAGTCAGTTTAAGCGAAAAATTTCAGTCTTTCAGCCTGTACCCTAAATATAAAGTTGGCAGAGCTACAGCCTAGTTCAAAGAAGATTGTGACCCATTTTCCCCAACTGCATAAGCTAGCTGCGCTTAAAAGCAACCCCAGCTATGAGACAGAGGCTGTTCTGGGTAAACTTGGTGAAAGCCAGACAAAGTTGTGCTGTGTAATCATTGTTAAAATGTCAACTGGCTTGGAGCCAACCACTGTACTCTCCCTTTAAACTTCTCCAGGGCTAGCCACATTCTGTTTTTCTCCTGCTTCTCAGTAGATCAGTAATCTCACAGACAAAAGCTTCACTTTCTTAACCTTTATGTCTATTTTACTATCCCCAAAGACTCCACGAACACTAGAAGTCTATTCTCCATATTATGGACAAGAAGGTTTAAGAATCTGCAGATACGACCGTTCTCTGCTGAACCCCTCCGTGACACAAAGAACGTTTTACGTAATGCAGAAGAAAACATTTTTTCAGAGATTTCACATAGAACATTGAAACATCACACATTAGTATGAAAGTACTTACATGATCTTGCTATTAAAGAAAAATAAAAAAAAAAACAGTGGAAGGAATGGCATCTTTACAATGAGTTCTGAAATGACCTATACACAACTCACCTGGAAAGCATGGCAGAGAACAGCACTGCATGACACCTGAAATTGTGGAATTTTCTATAAAACGTGGATAGGACTCACCCTACTGTTCTGCACTTCAGACTATTAAGACATATACATAAGCACATTAAGACACAAAGTTGTCCAGGTTTTGTTTTTTAATTATTTATTTTCTCCTAATATAAACTTCAAACAATCGGGACAGAAGCCTATGCTAGCTGGTATCAAATTAAAACTAATTTACTCTTTTTAAATGGAACTTGGATCTGCACTACTATACTCAAAAAACCCCAACCAAAACAACGGACTGGTGATATTTGTAAATCTGTTGCTATCTTCTTTTTGTTAGTTCGTTTGTTTTCTTACTTCTTTTTCTTGTTTTCCTTTCTTTTTTTCTTCTTTTAATATACAATAGTGGAAGCCAGCCTTAGGTTTTGGCTCCCAAAATCACGGAAAGCCAGGAACTCACACTTGTTCATCATCCCTACCTTAAAATTTTAACCAGCAAAACCATACTCAAAATCAATTTGCTGTTACCACAGCAAAAGCTAACTTAAAACATCAGACTAAAAAGCTTGTAAAAAAGGTATCCTAAAAATCTGAACTGGACAAGTTATTTCCTAAAATATTACATTTCACTATTTAGGTTCCTAGACAGCCAGAGTACACTAGTAAAAACGTGTATCAGACTAAAAGAAAAGAAAATGCAGTTCTTCCGAAAGACAACTTTGTTTATGATGCAAAAATATTTGACGTTTATGTAATTGACCCGAACTTCAAAGGGACCCATACATATCGGGCTCCTCCTATATAAAAGGAAACCGGCTTTGAAGGCAATGAAGTTCTTTTCTCTGGAATATTTAGGGGAGCAGATGGTCAGCTTGGTTCTAACAGCCATCCCCAGAAATTGGCTAAATAACGGTCTCTGGTGAAAGCTAAGAGAACAATGTTCCCTACCATTCCACACATCACAATATGCATCATTTTACAAGACCAGCACCTGCAATTTTAGGCAAATGACACCTACTTTATTTCATTCTGAACGTGCCATCTCTGCATTTACTCTAGCTCAACTTTGTTTCTAAAGTTCATTATTTAAAGAAAGGGCTGATTTATGCCAGAAGTCACCCCTCTTGACCCACCTGTTTTCTCAAATTCTTCGGCAAAATATGGGTCGTTGAGATCAACATCAGATGGAAGTTCATCTTCACTCAGTTCTCTCTCAGCAGTAGCCTGTAATAAAGCGCAAACATTATTTCAACCAACATATAAACAACTACTAAAGTTTCACTGGAATTAGATGTTCCTTCTGTTAGTAACTATGAACATGAAAACTGAAATATTGTATGCTGAACATCATAAAACTAGAATATACTAAAAATTGCTAGTAAAGACAAATCAACAATTTAAAATCTGTTTCACAGATTGAAAGCTTTTTGTGTACCTGAAGAAGGGCTATTTACATATTCCAAGGATCTTTATTAGATGTACCCACAAACAGTGATGCATTAGCTAACCATACCAACAAATTACAGGATCACAGCATTGTTATGTCCTTACTTTATATTCCACAAAAGCTCTGCTTGGGGAAAAACTTGAGCAAGGAACTTCGTTTTGTGCTCCAAAATTCAGAAAGACTGAGTTTGGATTTAAAAGAGCAAATTTTATTACTGGAAGTATTGTGTTGTACACCTTGTCCCTTGACTTAATTTATCAGCCTGAACAAGAATATTATGCTAGCAAAAGTTGCTCTACTACCTAACGGTGCTACTTACTCTATTCAGAGCACTCACCTTCTGTAAGGTTTAAGAAGTTACTCATCAAATACCAGTTAAAGCTAACTGGAATGCACAGCGTAACTCAAGTTGTAGAGGTTACTCTTAAAAACATTAGTCTGCAACATGAATTATAGTCAGAGTAACTTAAGAATTTAGGGAAGCTAGATTCTGTATGCTGCATGCTTTTTTCCCTAGCACACGCACAAACATTTCATTTATCTGCCTGTTTCTGCACATTACTGTCACAGGAGTCAGTTACTTCACGATTACTTTCTGCGTGTGGAAAGATGAAGCAACAGCAATTTTCACGTTACTATAGGACCATTTTGTTATTCATACACAGAACTATTTACCAAATTTGCTCTTGCAGTTTGAAGTCTGAATAGTTCTTTGTGGCTATTAATTCTTTGCCGTTAGAGCTTCGGGAAACTAGTCTGTATTATTTTAGGCCAAAAATTTCCAAAACTACAATTATCATTAGCGTAACAACTTTGAACCGATATGCATACAGTAGCAAAAAGACCCTTCCTAATGCATTCAAAAATGTAAACTAAAAACCAACTGTCATTATGACTCATCTCTCTTTAAAACAACACAAGTAAATAAATGAAATTTTGTGTAAGCATATGTGTGATCAGTAGTATCCTGAATATCCTTTTGCTCTCTAAGTCTGATGAGGCATTCTTGGCCTTTCCACATGAGTGACCGCTGCACATTCTAACCTTAAAATAGTACTGGAAGCTATACAATTTTTTAATTTAGTTTATCCAAAACAAACAGCAACAGCAACTTAAGAAAACAAACAACCAACAACTCTCCTCCAAGTGGCCAATGCAAACATTACCTTTCTCTTTTTTTTAAGAATTCTTTTTTCTTTCTTCTTCTCTAGATATTTTTGCCATGGAGTTAGGTTATCCTTTCCTTCCAACCTGTTTTTGACCATTTCTTCAGCAGTTTCTTTGAGGCCTAGAACAAAAAATAGTAAGTTAAAGAAATGAGATGAATCTGAATTTTCTTTTTAAATCAACTGTTTTCTCCTTTGTAAAAGAATAATCTAGTTTTTCTTTAACAGCTCTGTGAAAACAACATAAATATTGCTTAAAACAACATCTTCATAAATAAGATCACTTTACAGGATGTGTTTTTCCAAATAAAACATTCCTTCAGTAATAAATTGTACATGAGTCAGAAGAAGAGCTTGCTTATGTGACACCCGATTCCCAACACTCTTGCTATTCCTCAGCAAGGTCTCCTCTCCAGACATTAGACTGTACAGTCTACAGATGCCACTTTTTAAGGATAAGACAATAAAAATAACAACAACAGACATATACAGAGCCCTTATATTTAATGTACCTTACTACAACTAGTTAAGATTCACAAAAACACTTCAAATACAGTCCAGTCGTTCCCATTTTTTGTGCATGGCAAAACAAAATACAAAAGATGAAGTGACTAGACAACGATTCTGAAATGTTAAATCGCTATCAGAATATAGGGTCATCTCACAGCTGGCTTGAGCCTCAACAGCTGGTGCTCTCTGTTTCCCAGAGAGATATTATCTGGTTGTTGCTGTACCAGTATGCCTCGCTCACATGATAAAGTTGCTATATATAGCATCTCCATTGCTGAAACTTGGCCTCTGTGATAATACTATGACAATGCTGCAGTATCTCTGACCACCAGCGTATTTTCCATCCATCATTGTAAAAGAGAACAATAAGCTATTATTTGAGTAAATTTGAAGTAAAAATAAATCCGCAGCTAGAAAGCACAGAAAAACGTAAATAAAACCCCCAAATAATTTCTTGCATTATGTATAAATGTCATAACATGACATGCGTTAAGTTAAATTAAACAAGTTCTTTTCAAGTCATCTAGCCCTTTAAAGCTACTTAGTAGCTTTACCTCATTGCTCTCTACAACTCCCTGAAAGGAGGTTGTAGCGAGGTGGGTGTTGGTCTCTTCTCCCAAGTAACTAGCGATAGGACGAGAGGAAATGGCCTCAAGTTGCGCCAGGGGAGGTTTAGATTGGACGTGAGGAAAAAT